AAGAAGCATTTGGCTTTTAATGATTCACCCTTGAAAAATCCCTTTGGAGATGTTAGGCGTTATTTTGTTAACTAGAAATAGTTCTAGTGAAAAGAGTAGGGTTTTATTTTCAATCAGCAAGGTAGCATTTTGGCCCATATTTTATAATCTTATTTTGGTGCTATTTTTTACTGATATTTGTCTTTAGAAAAGTTGCATCACACTCATTTTTCCCTAAATCAGTTTTTTTTTCTAACTTTGCTTGTAAAAAAATAAGGGTAACAGACAAATTGAAAACCATATATCCACAATGATATTTTTGCAAAGCTGTCCAGTCAGTAACTATTTGCTTTGTGACATGGATTCTATTTGCTTTGTTATATGTTTTCTTTTCGTAACAGGATGTTTTGCATACAATACAAGTAAGAAGGATTGTTAATTTCCCGTAGAAGTAACGGACTTCTTGGACATTCTATTCTCTTTGTATGTTTCATTTATACGCAAAAGAAGAATGTTGAAAATCTGCTCTCAGAGCTTTTTTGCAAGTAACAAATAAATGTTTGTGCTATTATGAACTAAAAGGCAGTCAGAAAGGGCTTCTGTTTGATCAATAATGTATGCTCCAGTTAGTCCTATCCTCTGGACATCATTAAATGGTAGTTTGTTTCATAACTGATCATTTTGGCTGACTAGAATTTATAACAATCTCCTCAAGCTTTTGCATTGTCCAGCAGACAAATACGAATCAAAATAATCAGTTATGCTTAGTGATAATATGGAATATAAATAAATAAATGTTGGAATTAGTTATTAATTGTTGGAAGACTGGAGTTTCAAAACCTGATTTCTTGGCCTTGTTCATACTGGGATGATAATCTTTGTTTTTTTCATATTTTGAACTTCTCCTAACAAGCTTAAAACTTTGTATATGACATATTAAATTAAACTGTATATTTTAAAAAATAACAAGCCTTTTAGACTTAGTTAATAATTTTAATAGTTAAGACTAATTTCATGTACAAATATGAAATCATCAAACCATGCAAGGATTTTAAACATTATTGGCATTGAAAGATCTTCATTTGTTTTTTTGTTTATTTCCAAGTTCTAGTCAGCCAAATGCAGGGTAAAACTTAGAATTTTTTAAAGACTCGGAGGCCAGATAATTTGCTTACCTATTTATACCTGGTTACTTTCATCATCAGCAAAATGTTTTTCTATTACATTGGTATCTTTGGAAATAAGAGATTTTCAAGTAGGGCAATGTGGATAAATTTTCTTATAGGATTAGCCTATTTTTATATGTAGTATAAGATTATGCTATCTGGTCAGAAGTAAGACCCGTTGAATGCAATAAGAGACTTCTCTGTAAGACTAAATTCTCAAGTGCACTATAAAAGTTATTTCGGCTATTCAGTGCTTTGATCAATATTATTTACTATTGTTTTTCTTAGTGATCTTGTTGAATTGCTATATTATTAAATATTATTTGGTTTTTTAATATTATTCATTTTACAAATGTGTAAATTGTCTGCTCTCAGACACTCTTAATTCTATTCCAAAGAAGGAAAGCCATTTAAAAAAGCACAATTTAGTCACCATGTATGAGTGACTAAAATATGCAGGGAAATAAGCAATATGATGGATGTTAGATATTTTTAAGCAATGATATTTAATTTACTAACTTCCTGCCATCAGACTCTGCAGTACTTGTAAATAAACTGGCAAATTTAAGCATGCATATTGCTATAATTGGCTACACAAACTTAGTACTATGTGGTTAGTCTCTTTTTATTTTGGCCTAAGATAAAATAAAAATATTTTTGTGATAAAGAATAGATCATTTTAGACATATTGCACTACAGGTAGTCCTTAATTTATGACCCTATAGACCCCAAAATTCTGTCGTTAAGTGAGACTTTGTTAAATGTCCCATTTTACAACCTTACTTGCCACAATTGTTAATTACTGCAGTTGCTAAGTTAGCAACAAGTTTGTTAAGTGAATCTGGCTGTCCTATTAACTTTGTTTGTCAGAAGGTTGCAAAAAGCGATCAAGTGACCCTGGGGCACTGCAACCATAATAAATATGGATCAAATGACCATAATAAATATGGATCAAGTGACCCTGGGGCACTGCAACCATAATAAATATGGATCAAATGACTATGGGGATGCCAAACATCCAAATTTAGATCATGCTGCGATGGGTATGCTGCAATAGTTATATGTGTGAAAAATGGTCATAAGTCACTTTTTTCAGTGCCATTGTAACTGCGATGAACTGTTGTAAATCGGAGATTATCTGTATGCCCAAACTTCCATGTTTAAGAAGGATTTTAGAGAATAATAGAGAACACTGGATAAAACTGATTTTTTTTTTTATTGCTTACAGTGTGGTTTCACAGTCATATATGGGATTAAAGTAAATTGATCAGTCTTATGCTTGACCTTTGTTAGGATCTATGCTAGTCCATTGGAAATGTCAGCAACTTTTGATACCATCAATTATGGTATCCTTCTGGATTGCTTACAACAAAAGAGTGGGAGGAGGAATTAATGTTTTCAATATCCTTATCCAATACTGTATCTTCAGGCTATTATGGATTGGCTGGAATTGTACCAAACTATTTTTGTCCAGAAACCATTGGATCTGAATCCAAGATAGCTTTAAACAGGCTCACGCTGATCCATAATCTGTTTCGCAGTTCATGGCTTCTGCTTGTTTTTAATGCTGTTTTAAAATGTATTTTGACAATATTTTTATATGTTGTTAGCTGCTTCGTGCTGTTGCGGCAAAAAGGGAAACAGATAAATAGAACAAATAAACAGCTGGTTGACAAAGGAAGCCTTTCAACTAGTTTTGTATGATGATGGCAATTGGACCCCAGCAGTCCCTTAGGGTCAACTTATGCCTTTCTTAGTTCTAGAGTGCAACACCCTCTCTTTTTTTAAAAAAGAACGTTCAGCAGAATGTGAAAGCACAGAAGCTGGTAAATGAAGCCATTTAGCAGTGCTGCAAAACTATGAGCCTGCTTGTTTTGGTTCCAGTTTAATATGTTGATAATTACCTATAACGATCTTCATGGCTTTGTAAAAATTACAAAGAATCTGCCCAATCAGTGCACTTAAAACAGGAAGACATGAACTGCATCCTTGCTCCTCAGTCCACCCCTCGCCCATGATTTTGGGATAGAAGAGAGGAAGCAGGTCTTTTCTGTGGCTGCCCCAGTCCTGTGGAATAGCCAATCTGTCAGACTGTGCTCCCTCTAAATCCCAAGAAAGAAATACTCAGACTCCATGGTGTAGAGCAGAATTATTCTTTTACTGGAAGATGATGTGGTAGCAACAGAATCAATTCTGAAACTAAGAAACTGGAGGGCAAAACACATATACAAAAGGATAGAATTGTTCCCCCCCTCCAAAGATCAAATGATTCTTCCAATTAAAACTTCTGAATAGGATCATGTGGTCATCTCCGGGTGATGATGAGGCTACTGTCAGTGACCTTGACATATTTTGATAAAAGTTCGCAGTTGCGCAGGACAGAGGACAGAGGCTAACGAAGAAATGGAAAGTTAAGGAAAAGAATCCCCCCTCCCCTTCTTAACCCAGCAAAGGAATGCAAAACACCTCCTGCCTTCTTCCCTTCCAAGATTCCCCCCTCCCACCGTTTCATGGCAGCCGAAAGAGAAAATGGCATAACAGCAAATAAAGGATAGAGAGCAGCAAATAAAGAATAGAGAGGGGTGAAGATATCTTGAGGCTGACACAGTCAAGGATTAGATGACTCCCTCATTCCTTGTGCTGGTTTATTGTTATTGTTGTTCAGTTCCATTTTAACTAATGGCATTTCTACTGTAAATCTTCAGTATTTAATTTGCTTGAATAAAACAAATTTAATTTGTTTAAATTTAAAATAAAATTTGTTGAATAAGCCCCCTAGACTAGACACTTTTTCATTTAGCAGATTGGAAATGAAACAATTTTTTTTAAAAAATCTAGACTTTTCAGAAAGGAAGCCACTTTTTGCTATAATTTATGCTGTTTATAAGATTCATCCTTCATCCACATCTGGGTTATTGCCAAAAGCAGCTGTATATATCTTGAAAAGATCTCCTGCATAGAAGAAAAGTATAGTTTTTTTTCCTTGCTTGTTCAGTTTTCTATGATTATTGCAGCAATTTTGTCTTCCTGAACTATGCAGGTTTTCCCATGTCAATTTATTTTTTGTTATTACATCATTCACTTAATAAAACAAAAATAGTTGGTCAGTTTGCTTCTAGTTAGAAGAAAAAGTCTTTAATCTGTGTTTATATATTCCTTCTATTCCCTTAGTAATGCATTATTTTGATGGTTTATATTCCTTCTTTCTATCTCTTGTGGTTCCTTTCCCAGTTAGACAATTGTACAATTGCAATTATAAGTTAACTACTTGGGCCTTTTAAATATCTGTGATTTGTTTGATCAGTATAAGCTGAGAATTTTGAGTTCAAGAAGCAATGACTAGGAAAAAACCAGCATCACTTTCACTATTTATTTCCTTTTATGAAGCTTTGCTGTTTTTATGCTTCAGGGATGCTTTTGAAATAGCAAGTATTTCAAATAATAGAGATGTATATGCAATAAGTATGAAGGAAAATTCAACCTACTTATATCTATTTATTAGCAGCAGCTATATTTCCTAACTGTAATTTATCTTTCAGTCTTCAAAAGATTCCAGAAATCTTATCACATACTTTAAAACCATATTTGGGACAAAATAGTTTTCAAGGGCCTAGTATCCACAGTGAAATAAATAAAATTCATCATTCCTTTCATAAAAGTCCAGTTTTTTTCACTTACTAGCAAAATAGAAGACATTTAAATATATTTAAAATAAATATATTAATATAAAATTTAAAATAATAAAATAAAATAAATAATAAAAATAAAATAAATAATAAAAATAAAATAATAAAATAATATATTTAAAATAATATATATTTAAAATAAGTTCTTGCGTGTTTCTCCACTGTCTTTGTTAATATGCATAACAAAGATACCATGTAATTGTTTTTTGTTCTTTTCCCTTAGAAAACATATTTTAAGACAAGAAAACAAGGAATGTCTTCGCTGAAGGGTAAGATTCAGACTGTATTGGGCCTAATAGACCCTAGCCAACTGGGCTACACTATGACCCATGAACACTTGACAATGGGCTTCAGTTGCTGTTACTACCCGCCACCCCCAGGTCAAGAAGCTCTTTCTGAAAAACCCATTGAGATGAAGCACTTGTTTTGGCTTAAACAGAATCCTTATAGCCACAAAGAGAATCTTCTGCTGTATGAAGAGACTGATGCTGTGAGAGAAGAACTCCTTCATTACAAGGCTGCAGGAGGTGGAAGCATAGTGGAAAATACAACCACTGGGATCATGCGAGATGTGAAGATACTAAAACAGCTTTCAGAAGAAACTGGTGTCCATGTTATTGCTGGAGCAGGTTTTTACGTAGATGCCACTCATTCCTCTGAGACTAAAGCTATGTCTGTGGAACAGGTAGGTATCAAAATGGTGTGAAAACTGAACAACCATTTTGAACACTCCTGAATAAACCCAATAGATGATAGCTACTACAGCTCATATATAAAGAAGGGTTTAATCTATGGGTAGTTAAATATTTCTAGATGATTGCATGTCAACAGGAGTGCTAAACCATTCTGCTTAAACCTATAAGCACAAAGGCTTGAACACATTTTTAACAAATAACAGGATCCTTGTTTGCACTAAGTTCTGTTGTGCAAAATCTAGTCTTTCCTTCACATGTTTCTCAGGAACTGAGCTGTTGTTCCTTCCAACAATTTAGACAGAAACTAAATGTCAAGCATGAACTGATTTAATTGTGAATTTTTTCTCAGTAAGACACTAACAATTTTTAATTCAGCATGTAGCTTTCATGCCCTTTAATATATAGAATTACTATTCAAATAAGCATATTTTATGTTGCAAATAACTCTTCATTCAGGACTGAATCTGTACATTCCTGAAATATTTATTATGTGTCTGTCTAATATAAGTAACAGTTATTTGTTGTTCAGTGACAAGAAAAGACATTTTTTCTCACTCAAATAATTATGTTGATCTTGTTGATTCTGTTAGTACTTACAGTATTGTAACCATTTTTCATTTAGCAGCTGAGTTGCACTGTTAAGTGAAATTGTTATTAAGTGAACACAGGACAGAGAGAGTGAGAGACATTAATATCAGTGGTTGCTGCCATATAATTTATAATAAGTTCTATTATATACCCTTGCCAACATTATCACTGTGCATTCTTGTCAGATACATGAAATTTGGTTATAAATGCACACATTGATCAGAATTATTTTATTATCGTATTTGTAAATGGTTGCTAACCGAAGTCGCAACCATTTGTAATGGGTATATTTAGCATTTTTTTATTTATAAAAACATGGTAGAAATATTTCTGTCAGTTACATCATGGTAAATATTTAAGATAAATATCCATAAAACTACTTTTATTTATAAAGATATACCGTTAATTTATTAAGAAAATATTAAGGTTACATCTTCATGCACTATCACAGTTGTCAGTGCTGAATACAGGTAATCCCCAGGTTACGAGCATTCCCTTAGCGAACATTCGAAGTTATGCGATAAGTGCACCCTAGCATTTACAAACAAGTCCCGAAAATATTAATGTTGTAGCACTATGGCAGTTCTTCACTTTTATGAACAACTGCAGAAGTTCTGAAACATTCACCCTGCCAATTTCCACCCCCACCCTCTCCCCAGGTCTCCATAGGCATTGGGCCTGTGGATACTACCTTGCGAAGATCTAGAGAGCCTTTGTTTTTTTGGCCTGAATGGAGGCCTAAAGTACGGCAAGATCACACTAGATCAGTAGCTTGAGAACTCACACGCTTCATCTTGTGTGATCTCATGGTACTTAGGTCTCTGTTCTCTGCAAACAAAGGCCTGGATGAGAGCTGCAGGAAAAGGCTTTGCAAATCGAGGGAAGGCCTGAAACATTGAAGGGAGGGAGCTTTGCTCTGGAGCTCCGTTTTCGCTAGGAAAGACCTTTGCTGAAGAGAAGCTTTGTTTTCAAGCACCCCATTTCCAGGCAGACAAAGCTTCCAGTCTCTGTCAAGGCGAGAAGTGTTTGAGTGACCTGGGGTGTGTGTTGAAATGGAGTGAATTGCTTGAAAATGCAGCTTTTCGCTCCATTTCCAATCCCCCAGTTTCCCTCAAACACTTTCCACCCAGATGAAGACTGGAAATTTCTGTGGTGCATGGTCTTGTGTGAGTTCAGGCACCCATCCGATTTTGCAGAAATGGGTGCCTGATATCCCGTGGAATCAAGGCGCCCAGAAGGTTCCAGTCTTCATGGGAAAAGTGGTTGTACATTTATGAGGGGCTTGGAGCAATGCAAGTTCGTTGCCTTAGCCTGTCTTTGTGCAAATGCACAGAGCCTGGAAGCCTTTGGAGGAGACTCACCAAGGCTGCCTACTGCTCCAAAAGTGGCAGGCAGACTCGGTGATTAAAGAAGCCGAGCAGGACACGCTTGTCCTACTCTCCCTTTTCTCTTGATGCTCATTTGGAGCAGGCAAAGAAACAGATGCTGGAGAGGAGACAGATCTTCACAAGGTAAGTGACTTGGTGCGATAGGTTGAGGGGAGAAGCAATTGTGGGGAGCATGAGGGCAGAGCTGGCGTCGCGACGATACGGCATGCGATCTTGGAGATCTAAGATCGCAGCCGATATCTTTGCTCCTGGACGGTCCAAGTGGATCTAAACCATCCTGAAGAGACAGTGAATATAAAGAGCGCATCCTGTCGGTCCCAGGGATATCACAAAGTCCCTGGTAGATCCAGGAGAAGCTCTTTTTGCCAGCGGCAAAGAGGCAGCCATTAAAGCTGCTGAAGTTGGGACAGCTCCGAAATGAAAGAGAATGGAAAGAGAGAGTGTGCCGGTTTGGTGAGAACTTTTTCTTTATTTTAAGACTTGAAAGGACACCCTAAGGGAAAGAAAGAATCTGTAGAAGTTTTGACAGAAGTGATTAAGCGGCGATTTTAAACAGGAATGTCAAAGTATTTTTTTTTCCTCATTGCTGGATTTTCTACACATGATCTTATATTTTGAAACTGGACTGGTTTTTTTTTCTTCTTTTTATATATTCTTCTCTCCTTTTTGATTTTATAATATTTTAAGCCAGAGACTCCCTTTTAGTTATTTTTTAAATATCTTCTTCTTTTCTTTTTTAATTAATTCTTATTATATTTTGCTTGGAAAAGGAGGGGGAAAGTGAAAGCTAAAGAAACTTTGTAACACTGCCAACTAGAGGCTTGGAAATATTCTATTTTTCTTTTGACCAGACAAAGCTGAGAAAGAACTGAGACTTTGTTTCAAGGACATTGCCTGTTTGATAAGATAGAGGGAAGAGCACAGGAGAGTATTATTACAGGTGCTCTTCTGGGTTTCTATCAACAGTTGGAGTCTGGTATTGAAGCTTAGGAAAAGAAAAGGTGATAAGTCTTTGGAGAAGAGAGTTATAACAAGGGCCTTGGATAATCAAACAAAGTGCAGTGTGCTCTTTTTATTCTTTTTAAGCTGTGCTACCCCTCCTCATCAGTTTACTTTTTTTTCGCAATAGCTATTTGGATTTTTGGCTCTTTGGAACTTGTCTTTGTTTTTTTTTTATTTTCTTGTCTTTGGAAGTTAAATTTTTACGTCTGCTTTTTATTTTAAAGGAAAAGCTTTAGTATTAATGCTTCCCTTCTTTTTCTTTTTAAGGGAGTAGCCTTTTTCTTCTCTTTCCCTCCCTGGTATTTTTGTCTTTCCATCTACTTTCCATATTGCTTTTTTTGGGGAGGGGGGTATTTTGATGCATACTTTTATATTTGAGACCTCTTAATTAGATTAAGGTGTTGAAGAACCTGAAGAATTTTTCCTTTCTTTTTTAGCCTTTTTCTTCACTTTTTCGCCTTTTTTAGGATTTTACAACTTTTTCTTTTTTGTGTGTGTCCATGATGTGTTTATGGTCTTTTCCTTCATTTTTGAATTTTTACTGTCATCTCACCAACCGATTGGATTAAGATTTAGAAGAACCTGAAGATTTTGAATTCCTCAAAATGAGTAGGAAATTAACAGCTCCTGGTTCTTCAACTTCCACTTCTTCCTCTCCGCCATCTGGAGGACAACATTCAATACAGACAATATTAAGACAAGAAAAAGAACAACAAAAAGTGATCCTGCAGATGATTATGCAAGGAATTCAAAATATTCAAACAAGATCAGAGAATATTGAAAAGAGAATAGAGAACATTGAACAAAGAACAGAGAATATTGAACAAAGAACAGGGAAAATCGATGAAAAAGTGGAGAACATCCAACAAATGATGATGAAGTGTGATGAGAGACTCCAAAAAATTGAAGAAAAAGATAAACAAAGAGACAAGAAGATTGGAGACATTGATAACAGATTAACTGTGGTTGAACAAGATAAAAGTGGTATGCTGAGATGGGAGATGGACAGATCAGAATTTTATCTTAGATTCCAAAACATAGAGGAAGAAAAAGAACAAAATCTAGCTGAGATAATGATAGAAATATTGGCTGAAGCTTTGGAAATAACTGAAGAGAAGATGGATGGAATAGATGAGGTTTATCGAGTCTTCACAAGATATGCAATGAGAAATAGCTTACCAAGAGAAGTTCACATCAGATTTACAAAGAAACCCATTAAAATGCAAATATTGCAAGTGGCAAGAGAGAAAACATTGAAATACAAAGATAAGGAGATTGTGATCTTGAAACAAGTACCCAGAAGAGTGAGAGAGATGAGAAGAGAATACCGATTCTTGACCAAATTGTTACTTAAAAAAGAGGTGAATTATAGATGGCTGATTCCAGAAGGTTTAATGTTTACATGGCAAGAACAGAGATATAGAATTGATTCAATTGAGAAAGCTGAATCATTTTACACAGAATTTTTCAGAGGGGAGGAAGAGGCAGAAAAAGAAATTTCACTAATTGAATTCCAAGAGGACTCCCAAATGACGACTGAAAAAGAAGAAGGTGCAGTAGGTGGAAAGGAGGAAGCCAAAGAACAACGTGAACCAAGATCCACGACAGCTGTCAAACCTAATTACAAAATATAACCATGGAAGAGAAAAAATTGATTACAATTAATATAAATGGACTTAACTCAGCCGTTAAAAGAAGGAAAATCATAAATTAGAGAAATTAAAATTTGATATTCAAACAATTCCAATTAGGCTTGGAAAAGACTACTTTGAAGATTTAAATAAAATTGTGTTGAAATATATATGGCAAGGTAAGAAAGCGAGAATAAAGTTAAAACTTTTGCAAGATGCTAGAATAAGAGTAGGATTTGGTTTGCCTAATTGGGAGTTGTATTACCAAGCTACAAATTTGATGTGGGTTAAGGAATGGATAACATTAAGAAATACTAGATTGTTGACATTAAAGGACATGACCTGTTGTTGGGGTGGCATGCTTTTTTATGGTATAAAGGAACTAAAATACAGGGGTACTTTAAAAGACATTATATACGGGAGTCTCTGTGGTTAAATTGGGAGAAAATTAAAAGACAATGTTATTTGAAAATTCCAGTCTGGCTATCGACTATTGAAGCATTTTCTTATCCTATAATATAAAAAGAGGAACAAACAGTTGGATATGGTGAAATATTGAATGAAAAGAGTGAACTTAAATCTATATAAAAACTAGAGGAACAAGG